TTGAGGAAGACACTCAGAGATGGAAGGACCTCCCATGTTCACAGATTAGAAGAATTGATATTGTGAAAATGACCATCCTACCAAAAGCTATAATGTAATGCCAATCACAATACCCATGACATTTTTCATGGAATTGGAAAAAAAATTCTAAGATTCATATGGAAGCACAAAAGACCTTGGATAGCCAATGCAACCCTGAGCACTAAGAGCAATGTGGGGGGTATTACTATACCAGATATTAAATAACATGGCACTGGCACAAAAATAGACGCATGGATCAATGGAACAAAATTGAAGACCCAAATATAAGTACATGCATTTCAGCCACCTGATATTTGATAAAGGATCCAAAGACATTCACTGGAGGAAAGACAGCATGTTCAGCAAATACTGTTGGCAAAACTGGGTCTCTACCTGTAGAAGAATGAAACTAAACCCCTGTCTTTCACCTTGCACAAAAGTCAACTCCAAATGGATCAAAGACTTTAATGTGAAGTCTGAAACCCTAAAACTGTTAGAAGAAAACATTGACAACAACCTACAAGACATAGGTGTAGGAAAGGATTTTATAAACTGGACATCAATTGCTCAGAAAACAAGGTAAAGAATCAACAAATGGGACCTTATTAAAGTAAAAGGCTTCTGTACATCAAAAGAAGCAACCAAGGAAGTGAAGGGAAAACCCACAGAATGGAAAAAAAATCTCCACCAGTGACACATCTGACAGAGGTTTAACATCCAGAACATATAATGAACTCCAAAAATGAAGAATCAAGAAAGGAAGTAACCCAATTAAAAACTGGGCTGAGGAACTGAACAGAGAGTTCTCAAAAGAAGAACAGAGTTCTCAGAAGAAGAAATAAAGATGGCAAAGAAGCATCTTAAAAGGTGTGCAACATCACTAGTAATTAGGAAAATGCAAATTAAAACTACTTAAAGATTTCCTCTTACCCCAGGCAGAATGGCTAAGACCTAGAGAATAAATGATACCGAATGTCAGAGAGGACATGGAGAAACAGGAATGCTCATCCACTGCTGGTGGGACTACAAACTTGTTCAACCCCTATAGAAAGCAGCATGAAGCACTCTTAAAAAACTACAAATGAACCTACCATTTGAGTCAGTTAGACCACTCTTTGGCATATACCCAAAGAACTCAGCCTATTGCAGAGAGGGTTGTACATCTATGTTTGTTGCTGCTCTTTTCACAATAGCTAAGAGATGGACACAAACTAAGTGTCCCTCAAAAGAGAGTAGATAATGTGGTAGATTTATATGATGGACTTCTCAGCAGTAAAGAAAGATGAAATCATGAAATTTCCAGGTTAATCGACGGAACTAGAAACTGTTATACTGCATGAAGTAACAGACTCAGAAAAACAAACTACATATGTTCTCCCTCATATGTGGATCCTAGCACCAAATCCTTATGAGTGAGTATATATCCAGACATAACTACAGGAACCAGAATGTGCTGGATAGCTTTAGTGTCAACTTGACACACCTGGGTTGAGGGAGCCTCAATCGGGGAATTGCCTCTATTGGACTGGTCTGTGGCCATGTCTGAAGGGCATCTACTTGATGAGTGATGAGGGAGGGCCCAGCCCTGTGTGGGTGGTGCCACCCTGGGGCAGGGGTGCCTTTATTGTATAAGAAAGCAGGCGGAGCAGGGGCCAAGGGAAAAAGCCAGTAAGCAGCGTTCCTCCATGGTCTGTGCTCCAACTCCTGCCTCCGGATTCCTGCCCTGAGTTCCTACCCTGGGATCCTGGATGAACTGTGACCCAGGATATGTAAGCTAAATAAACCCTTTCCTCCCCAAGATGGTAATGGTCAAAGTGTTTTGTCATAGCAATGAAGAAACAAACTAGGACACAGAATAATGAAAATGAACCAGGGAAGCAAAGGAAAAGAAAGAATCTAGAAGAGTAGAACAGTGGGAAACAGGCATTAATAAGAGAGATATGGATAAAACAAGGGTTATTTTAAGGGGAGTGGGGAGGGAGGGTTATACAAGGATCCTAGGGAATAAAGGGGAAGAAGGAGCTCAAGAGAGCTGGGACCACAGGTGATGGGTATTATAAAGGGAGAAATTGGGAAAATGGAGGCATCTTAAATCAGGAAACCATGGTGAAAGGGTTAGACAATGCAAGAGATAAATAATGCCTAGATAGGTTTTTAAAAATCCAGAGGGAACCATATTAGTCCAACAACCTACTGACAAATTATACATACAACTAGATCAAAGAATATAATACATGTCTAGGCAAGGATTATCTGAGAACGTTTGGTCTTTGCCCAAAGTTTATTTACATGTCACATGGTAATTAAAAGCACCAGACTGGTGGAACTAATCTTCTTGGATGTTTAACAGGCATACTTTGAGGCCTGCACTAATTTGGTCAGAGGGCCATAAAGGACAGTTTTTGCTCCTTCGTAGGTTGGCTAAGTTCCAGGGAACTATGAGCATCTCTCAAAATGTCCATCAACTGTGGTGAGTCACTTGTCCTCTTGATCAAGGAGGCCATGGAGACCCCACCAAATGGACTTGAACCAGTGTCCAGTCTGCAAAGAGGAGGGTCAACACAGAGGAATCATTTCCTCCATGCTTCCAAGTGAAGCTAGCCATGATCGAGTAGGACCTTTGACTTATCTTCACATAGATGGAACTGGTAAAAGAAAGGAGCTAGGGGTTCCTCCCAAGTCTATGTGACTCCTCAGGAACAGAACCTCAAGTGACCTTAAGAGTAAAAATAAATTTGTTTATATGAGCCAATTGCAGGATATTAAACACCCAAAAGGAAAGTATAACCAAAGATTAAAGGGGTCAATATAATTTTTTAAGAGTCCATAAGTATAGCTAAAGGCTAAAAAACAAGAAACAATGCCAGACAAGAGATATCTTGCTTTCAGTTATTGGCTAAGGTGCTCCCCATTTTTTTTAAAGATTTAATTTATTATGTTTTTAAAGGAGCATAAGGTAGGGAGTTAATTACAGAAGAGTGGGTGCCCCACATTTACCAAAGGGCTGAGAAGCCCACACTCAAATAAAGATCCTGTGACCACCCAAGAGCCACACAAAATTGTGAGAGGTGCCTCTTGGTGTTCTCCACTAATAAATCCCTTGCCCCCCCCAACACAGGTAAGGTGAACTGATTGGGTGGGAGGGGTAAATGACTCCCCCCTCGACTCCTTGATGACTGTGAGAAGGAGGTATGTCTATAGCTTGTCAACATAGTAGTCAGAGGACATTTTGAGGTAACACCCCCACCCGTTCCTCTGGTTCTTACATCCTTCCTGCCAACCTCTTCTTCAAAAGTCCCTGAGCCTTGGAAGAGGTGGTAGGTGTGAGATGATCTTCCTCCCATTGTGGCAAGGCACTGAACATTCAGGTCTCTGCCTCATCAGTTTTCCATGGGCTTTTGGCCAGTTTCAGTGGAATTTCATCTACTATAAAAAACACACAGCAAGAAGCAAGAACATCTAAACAGTGACTGCTATAATAACCTATGGGTATAAAAACAAATGCTTGATTGGTACTTTACCAAATGCAACTTTCTCCTATGGTCCCACCTCTCTTGAGCGCCTTCTTTCCCTTTCTCCCCAAGGTTCCTTGTATAATACCCCCCTTAAAATAACCCAATTAAAAAAAATAGGGTCTCCCTGTAGCCCCAGCTGTCCTGAAACTCACTAGGTAGACCAGGCAGGCCTAGAATGCACAGAGCAATCAGCCTATCTCTGACTCCCCAGTGCTGAGACTATAGGCATGAGCCACGACACACGGCATAACCCCATTTTTATCTGTATCTCCCTTATCAATGCCTGTTTCCAACTGTTCTTCTCTTTCACAATCTGCATTTCATTTTAAAATATAATGTTTCATACAGAAAGGCTCAATTTTAATGCTACAGACACTTAGATGTTTGAACATGTGTCTCTATTCTCTGTGTATCTGATCATTACTAGTCACCTTCAGTTATTTTCTGAGATCCACCCAAGCATGGATATATAAAATCAAAGGGTATAATTAATTGGGAAACAAAATTGTAGAAGAGCCTGGCATAGTGGCACATACGATAATTGTAGAACTCAAGAGGGAGAGGCAAGCAGATCTCTGTGAGCTCTAGGCTAGTCTGATCTATATATCGAGTTTCAGGTCAGCTTGACCTACAGGAAGACCCTGTCTCAGAAAGAAGAAAAAATGTACTAGTAGAAATTAATGGAAGGAAACAGATTTATTCCAAGCAAGCATTGAGGAAAGTACAGAATTTTATGTCTCAAATCTACCTTCATGGAGATCAGGGACTTGAAAAGATTGATAGAGGAGGTGGGTTAAAATGAGACAAGGGTGGAAACTCCCATTACTGAGAATTCTTCTTCTTCCAGAGATATATCTTCTTTCCTCTTCTCAGGGGGAACTCCAGAAATGACATTCCTCTCCTGTGATTAGTAAATGAGAACCAGAGAAGGGCTTCACATTAGTAAAAAGGATTAAGGGATGGTAGTGGGGAACAGAATCTCATGAATACCGGCTACAGTGTTTGTTCACTCTTTTATATCAAAGCATGAGAATACCTTGAATATAGGTTTTTAAAGGTACTCATAAGAAACAGAATGAGTTCCCATTTGGGAAACAAAACAAATATCCTGAAATTGCATATGGAAACAGGAAATATCTATTACAACCAAAATAGTTCTGAATAATAACAGAGCTGCTGGAGGTATCATCATCCCTAATTTCAAACTGCACTACAGAGAAATAATAAGAAAAATAACATGGTACTGACATGAAAATCGACACATTGATCAATACAATACAATTGAGGGCCCAGATATAAGTTTGTCCATTTTTAATAAAGAAGCCAAAAATATACATTGATTATATAATCTTGAACAAATTGTGCTGGCCAAACTGGATAGCTACATGTAGAGTAATGAAATTTGAGCCTGATCTCTCACCCTGTGCAAAACACAACCTCCAAATAGATGAAGGGCCTCAGTATAAGACCTGATAGCTGAATCTGATAGAAGAGAAAGTAGAAAATACAAAGGAGAACGTAGGTACAAGGTAGAACTTTTTGTACAGAATCTTGATACCAAGAGGCATTAAAACTAACAATTTATAAATGGTACATCATAAAACTGAAAAGCTTCTGTTCTTCAAAGGACACCAATATTCAACTGAATTTGTGACCTAAAGAATGGGAAAGAATCTTTACTAACTACACATCTCACAGAGGGTTTGAGTTTTGGATTTATTTAGTTTTCAACTTGACACAACAGGGTAGAGGGAACCTCAACTGAAGAATTTCCTCAGTTGGATTGGCCTGTGGCCATGTCTGTAGGATATTTTCTTGATTGTTGAGTGATGTGAGCCTGGCTCCTTTGGGTGTCTGCAAGTAGGCTCCTACCCACCTGTGGTCTTTGTTATTTGCCTGGGGCCAGGGCTGGCCGGCTGCTATGGCCAGAAGGAGCTGGCTGCCACATCCAGTAACTCTCTTGCCTTCTCTTTCCTGCCGGTAGGGGGCAGCTCTTCCTTGGCACCAGGCCATGATGGCAGCACCCGCTCTTGGACTAAGGCCTGGTGTGATTTCGTGCCCCTCAGGGAGACAGCAGGCTCCTCTTGGACCCTGTTGCTCACCAGGCCCTCGCCCTTGCCTTTGTGGGGAGCTTTGCCTGTGGGGCTCTGGCTACAGAAGCCACTCCCTTCTAAAACCTCCCAAAACAGTGCCATCATCTGGGGACAAAATGTCCAAATACTTTAAGCCTATGGGGGACATTTTCATTCAAACCACCACACCTCTTTTGAGGTTATAGGATTTTGTACTGTGACTATAGTGAGCAGAAATGTGTCAGTCTGGTCTCCTCATAAGGAATTCATTTTTGAACCAGGAAGGACAGGATCTAACAGCAGGGCCAGAACAGGATGCACTATTTCATCCAGTGTGTATCCAGCACTTCCTGCTTCTCTTTGCTAGGGCACAAACCCCTGGGTGGGGAAGGGGGTGGCCCCACTGATGTGTTGTTTCCCAAATGTACCTCTGTGATTTGGGGAGTTTGCTTGATTGAGTTTACAGTACTGATGCTTATCCAAAAACTAACAAAAAGAGCTGACGCCCCCCAAGGGAGCCCCAACCCATTCAGAAAACACAAAAATAGCAAGAGCCTGACACACTGGTGTGTCCCACATGCAGATGTAGGGACTTGGACTCCAGCTTGGAATGTACATTACTTACATAAGGACCTAAGAACTTTGCCACTCAAGTCTCAATGCATGTCCATGGTGTCTGGAGTATGCATTTTCCTAGCGATCCTGCGGACACTAACACCCCCTCCCACTAATTACAGAGGGTTATACACTGGATGAAACGGTGCATGTTGTTGTGGCCCTGCTATTAGTTCCTGTCCTTCTGATCCAGAACCGTTTTCCCTACAACGAGTGCAGAGTGACACTTTTCAGCTCCCTTTAGTCTCCGCACAAAATTCTATAACATCAAAAGAGGGGAGCTGCTAGCGATTTCTGAGTTTATAATATTAATGCTTACTGCAAAAACACCTGGCACTCCCACCTCCCCCCCACCCAAATACAGACAGACGCACACACAAACACACGCTAACAACACACACACAGAAACTCAGACTCACACAGACTCAGAGAGACATGTGGCAGCCCTTCTTCTTCAGGCACAGCAGTCCGGTCTCCTCACTACAAGGAAGAAGCGCCATTGGGGTCAATCAGTGAGTTCGAAGGCAGCAGTCTATTCTGGGGCCAACCACGGACACATCAATGCAGAACTCGATACCCTGGTGTGGCTCCTGGAGACAGGTGGGAACTGGAGCAGCCACTGCCACCCAGACTAGGAAATCGCTCAATTTTAATGCTACAGTCCTAAAGTTGCCGATTCTGGACCCCTGTCCAGGGGAGAGGTGTCCGGGGCCAGAGACCAGCGGGCAGAGCTCACCGAGAAGGCAAGGGCAAGGGCAAGGGCAAGGATGAGGGCCAGGGCAGGGTGGGCGCCAGAGGCCGGGAGGACTCTCCTGCCTAAGCAAGGGCCAAGAAATCACACCAGGCCTTCTCCCAGGAGAAGGCACAGGCGGTGCTGATCCCTGGGCCCCTAGCCCAGGAAGAGCCACACTCTAGCGGCGGTGGAAGGAGAAGACAAGAGAGCTGCTGGACTCCGCCACTGCCTCCAGCTCCTATTGCATCTTGCAGCAGCCCTGTAGCCAGGGCAGCTAGGGAGAAGAAATGCCACTGTTGCATTTCGTGCTGCTCTTAGGGAGGGTATAAAGCCCTGGGATCAGCCTGATCTCGGTGAGGGTCGGGGTGGAGGCGGTCCCACTGATGTGGTGGGAATACCACACTTCCTTCCTTCCCTCCCTCCCTCCCTCCCTCCCTCTTCTCTCACCCTTTGTGGTCTTAGGTCGGTGAGGTTACTGGTGGTTCAGGTGGGTCTGGAAGGCAGTCTCCCAAGGGCGGGGCGAAGGCGGGGCCAGGAATGGCTGCCGGGGTCCGTGTGGGCGTGGCTTCGACCCTAGGCACCTATTTAATGGCCTGCTGAGTCCCTGCTCAGAGTCCCAGGCCAGACTGTCTTCTTGCTCGCCAGCAGGCTGAGAGAACGTCCCGCCCCCAAGACCAGAAGCAGAGCCGCCCAGCCCTGAGGGAGGAGGACCTGCTAGACCCGACCCAGTGCCAGTGCTAGCCAGTGCCAGCTGCCACCAAGGACGAACTGCGTGGCCCCAGTCCACTCAGCTCCCCCCGCGGCGCCCACGCGCACCCCCAGAACCCCCTCAGAACGGGGGAGGGGTTCACAGCAAAGGAGATGGAGCCAGACTGGCAGCAGCGAACTCTGTAGGAGCTGCGGGCTCGCCTGGCCACCGACACTGACCCTCACAAGCTGCGCCAGACTGAAGAAACTCTCCTCTTTGCCCATTGCTGCCGTCGTTCTGGCCTACACTCGCTTCCGGAAGACAGTCAAGGACGCGAGGAAACAGGCTCCTCATGGCCTTCCCCATGGCCCTGACGGACAAGTGCCCAGATCTGTTCCCGGTGGGGACTGACCCGAGCTTGGCCCGCAGGACTGGGCTGATCCATTGGGTCTCGTGCCGGGAAATGCTGCAGAGGAGAGCGAGGACACACCCCTGCCAAGGGGCGACCCAAAGGACTAGAGTGTGCTCTGCCGCAGCATCAGCCTGCAAGACGCCTATGGTGGCGATGTCGACGACCACCATGACACCACGACGACTTCAGAGGCAGCGGTGGAAGTGGCCTGAACAGCTTCGAGGATCCCGTGGAGCGTGGGATGCCCCCGCGGGAGCAGGGCCAAGCCTGGCCACCTCCTGGCCGAACCCGATCCGCAGCGGTGGCTCTGGGATACAGGTGGGACCAGGAGCAGCCACTGCCACCCGGACTGGGAAGCCGCCAGGGAAGCGGAGACTCTGCGGCCAGAGCGCCAGTCCCTGCGCCAGGTCCCGCCAGAACTGCAGCTTCCTCAGGAGTCCCAGGAAGAGCGATTCCAAGCCCTGAGAGACCGCATCCAGCGCGCCCAGGCCTTCTCCCAAGAGAAGCACAGGCCCAGCTGCCCCCGGGGCCCGAGCCCGGGAAGAGCAGCCCTCTAGTAGCGTTGGGGAGGAGAAGACAGGAGAGCTGCTGGACGCAGCCGCCTCCAGCTCCTATAGCCCCTTGCAGCAGCCCTGGAGCCAGGGGGGCCTCAGGCAACAGCAGGGCCCACCCCCGCGGGGGAGCACATCCGCGGGGACCTGACGGAGTCAGGCGCTCACAGCGGGCACTGAGGAGACCTGGTGACGCGCATCTGCAGCCAGCCGGACCCCCGGCGAGCGAAGCGACGCCTGTCTCCCAGCTTGGGCCCGAGTCCCTGCAGCAGGACCCATGTCAGGAAGAGTCTGCTCCTGCTCGCTCTTTTGAGGAGTGCCCCAACCAAGTCTGCTCTCCCCGGTGCAAACGGAAAAGGACAGGTAAAAGGGTCTGGCCAGCCTGCACCCGGCCTCCTGGAGCCACAGCACCGCCAGGTGATCCTCAGCGCTGCAGCCAAAGCCCGGACTGCGTCTGCGAACCAGCCTGCGCCGCTGGACCCAAGCCCCAGGAGCCGCAGAGGGCGCAACGGGGTTCAGCCCAGCTCCATCTGACGAGGGTCTCAGCCCACCAGAACCTCCACCGCCCGGGCTCGCTTCCGGAAGACAGTCACACGGGCTCCTCGTGGCCTTCGCCAGGGCCCTGGCAGACAAGTAGCCAGATCTGTTCCCGGTGGGGACCGACCCGCAGGACTGTGGGCTGAGCCATTGGGCCTCGCGCCCCGAAATGCTGCAGAGGACCATTCCCGGTCCGCCGGCTGCAGGGGCGTGGCAGCCCTTCTTCTTCCACGGGTATGGCCCAGCAGTCGGGTCTCTGCGCTCCGAGGAAGAGGCCCTGAGCGGGTCAGAGTGAGTTCCAAGACGCCAGTCTATTGGGGGACCAAGCATGGCCACCTCGCGGTGGAACACGGTCCTGGCGAAGGCTCCGGGAGACAGGTAGGACCAGGAGCAGCCACTGCCATCCAGACTGGGACGCCGCCAGGGAAGCGGAGCCGCCGCCTGAGCGTGAGTCCCTGCCCCAGGTCCCGCCAGAACTGCAGCTTCCTCAGGAGTTCGAAGAACAGCTACTCCAAACCCTGAAAGACCGCATCCAGGGTGCCCAGGCCCAGAAGAAGCTCCAAGCCTGACAGACCAAGATGATCTTCTTCCACGAGGGGGCCACGCACCCGGCCACCACGCAGAAGGCTTGTGGAACTCCAGGGGCGTCTGCCTCTTCCCAGGCCACGAGGGCCCCCTCGGCGCCCTGGGCCCCCAGCAAGAAGCCCCAGGCGAAGAAACTGGCCCCACTCATGGTCAAGGCCCTGAGGGATTACAAGAGCAGGTTCTCTCGAAGATGAACCAGGGAAGCCCACACTCAGGGGCCCTGGGATTTCTCCTGAAGACCAGACAGACCCTTTGACCTTCAAGACACCCAGAACTCTGAACTAGGCAGGTTTCCAGCACTGCAACCACCGGCCCGAGACACCTCAGGCCACCCACTCCTGAACACCTTGCTCTTCCAGAACTGCTCTCTAGACCGCCACACGGGCTCCCATCACCGGAAAGCACAGAAGGCCGCACCACAGCGGAACCCAGAAATGAATCTATAATCAGCCCTTTTATGCCACCATCCCAGATCGCAAGGGATCCTGCACGTCGCTAGTCTCCCCACCTCTACCCCCACCCCATTTACAGTTGGATATGCACTGGATGAAATGGTGCATCTGTTCTGGCCCTGCTCTGTGATCCTGTCTCTCCTGGTCCTAAACTGAATTCCTTAGGAGACCAGAGTGGCACCTTTCCAATCATTTTAGTCACCACACAAAATCCTATAACCTGGAAAGAGGGGCGCTGCTAGCTATTTCTAAGTTTACAGTACTGAGCATTATAGCAAAAAACTAATAAACAGACCTGGCACCTCCTACCGTCCCCCCACCCCGACCCCACACACCCAGAAAACACAAGAACAGCAGGAGCCTGACACACAGGTGTGTTGCCCCTCAGGAGGTACCTGACCTTGGACTGAAGCTTTAATGTACCTTAACTACATAAGGACCTTAGAACTTTGCCACTGAGTCCCAATGCATGTCCATGGTGCATGGAGTGTGCTTTTTCCTAGGGACTCTGTGGACACTAATGCCCCCTCCCCCCACTTACAGATGGGTATGCACTGGACTAAATGGTGCGTGCTGTTGTGGCCTGCTATTAGTTTCTGTCCCTCTGATCCAGACCCATTTTCCCTACAAAGAGAGCAGAGTAACGCTTTTCTGCCCCCTTTAGTCACCACACAAAATCCTATAGCCTCAAAAGAGGGGAGCTGCAAGGAATTTCTGAGTTTATAATACTGATGCTTATAGCAAAAACAAACAAGCGAACAGACCGGGCGCCTTTCCCCATCGCCCCCCGCCCACCTCTGGAAAACTCACAAAACTGTTGGGAGCCTGACACACAGGTGTGTAGTCCATGGTCAGGTACCTGACCTTGGACTCCACCTTGAAATGTACCGCAACCGTATAATGACATAAGAACATCACTACTGAGGTCAGCCATGCATTCCCATGGTGAATGCTTTTTCCTATGGGTTCTGGGGACACCAACATTCCCCTCCCCCCACTTACAGCTGGGTATGCACTGGGTGAAATGGTGCATCCTGTCATGACCCTGCTGTTAGTTCCTGTCCCTCCTTGTCCAAAACCCATGTCCCTATCAAGAGAGCAGAGTGGTGCCTTCCTGGCACCTCCCTGCTCCCATTCCTCACTGCACAAAATCCGAAAGCCTCAAAAGAGGGGAGCTGCTGAGGATTTCTAAGTTTATAGTACTGATGCTTATAGGCAAATCAAATGAGCAGACAAACAGAAAGGAATGGACAAAGCAAATGAAGATCATGCAGGGCAGAATGAGCCCAGACCTGGCGCCCACCATCCACCCCAATACACACACACACACAAACACAGACGCACAAACTGACTCACACCGACTTAGAGACATATGCCATCACAGATCCAGAGGCAGATATTTATGTTTTAATATTTTTAATATTATTTATTTAATAACCACTTGATTACAAGATGCATTTCTCTACAGCATTAAAATATTCACTAACGATTTCCAGAGCAAAGATACATCTCTTTCCATATTGGCTGTAAATTTTAAGTTCACAGTTGAATTAATACAGTTATAAAATAATGAAGTCAGTATAAACCCTAGAAGATGTGAAATTGAAAGAGGTTTTAACCTTTAAAAAAACATCTCTCCCAGCTGGGTGTGGTGGCACACGCCTTTAATCCCAGCACTCAGGTGGCGGAGGCAGGAGGATCTCTGTGATTTCAAGGCCAGACTGGTCTATATAGTGAGTTCCAGTACAGCTGGGCCTATGGGGAGGCCCTGTCTCAAAAAGACCAAAGAAAGAGAAAAGAGCTCCATTTCATTTTAAAATATACTTTTTCATACATAAATGCTCAATTTTAATGCTACAGACACTTAGATGTTTGCACATGCATTTCTAATCTCTGTGTATTTGTTTATTACTAGTCAGTCAACTTCGGTTACTTTCTGAGATCCACCCGAGCACAATATGTAAAATCATTGGGTAGATTTCAATGGTAATGTGTTTCACCTCTACCAATTAACATAGAGCAAATTTTTATGCTTCTTTCTCAAATATAACTTTTTTTGTTGTTTTTGTTGAATTTTTGGGTGTATTTCATACAGAACATTCCAAACAATCTTACTCATCTATATACCCACATCCCAAATGGCACCCTCCCAAACCATCATGCCTGCATGGTGGAGCCCATATACTCTGAAATCCCTGTTACTGTCCACTGTGTGGTTGGCACCCCCAGCCGTTCTCCAGTGCTTGTCCATCTACTGCATCTGGTCAGCCTACCCAGAGCTCCTTGTTTTAGGAAGATCAGCTCTTCCTCATCCAACAGCAATCAGTTGCCAGTATTCCTTTAGGGAAGATTGGGGTCTGCTGTTCATTTTCCCAGTTCTGTGCTGGGGTACTGTCTGGGAGTCTCTTGGGCCACCCTGGGCAACAACTCAAAGGAAGGTATTTCCTGCCTGGCATTGTTTCTTGTTATGTAGGTTTTAGCTATACCCATGGGCTCTTACAGAATTCTCCTGAGCCTTTAATGTTTGGTTACACTTTCCTTTGGGGTGTTTAAGACCACACAGGTGGCCCAGCTAAACCAATTGACTTTCACTCTTAAGGTCATTTGAGGATCTGTTCCTCAGTGTTCACATGGGCTTGGGAAGAGCCCCTGGCTCTTTTCTTTTACCAGTTCTGCCAATGTAAAGATAAGTCAAAGGTCCTGCTCGACCATGGTTGGCTTCACTTGGGAGCATGGAGGAAGTGATTCCTCTGTGTAGACCCTCCTCTTTGTAGACTGGCCACTGGTTCAAGTCCATCTGTTGGGGTCTCCTCAGCCTCCTTGTTAAAGAGGACAAGTGACCCACCACCATTACAGGATATTTTGAGAGATGCTCATAGTCCTCTGTAACTAGTTGGCCTCAAAGTGTGTCTGTTAAGCATCCAAGAAGGTTAGTTCCACCAGTCTGGTATTTTACTTACTGTGTGTCATATAGATAAATCTTGGGCAAAGATGAATTTTTCTCAGATAAACTTTACCTAGACATATATTTCTTGATCTGCTATGAATAGTTTGTCAGTAGGTTGTTTGATTAATATGGTTAGCTGTTCAAAACTAATGAGGCATTATGTATCTCT